ACGACAACGTGTTCTCAAAGGAAGTCGTCCTAGTTTCTTTTTTTAATATAATCTTATATAATATCTTCTTTATAATCTTTTTTAATAATAGTTTCATTATTTAATAATCAATAAAATAAAATACACCTTGTAGGAATGGCGTAAGAGGATTAACTACCCCCCATCGTTTCGTCGATGTTACAAGAGGCGGCAGACGGAAATGAAATAGGTGATTGACAGTAACATCTATCCGATAACAAATTAAAGTAACAAATATACTACGGTCGACAACCTACCAAGCGTGGCAGCTATAGTGAAAATCCAACCTAATAGGCATCGATCAGGGAGGTTTATGTTCAGCAGTAGCCTATCAAAATAGCCTCTAATAAATGAATGACACTAATGAAAGTAAAATAAGAAGCTTCGAAGGCAAGCACTCGTCTTTGTTCGATTACTGCCGGCACCAATTAAATTGTTACATTTATTATTATTATTATTAATTTTAAGTGCTGCTTTACCAAGTGCAAAATAAAGAAGGCAAATATCGTGAAGCAGCCTCCAAGTCTAAGGAATAAAATACTTCGAGGACATGTGAAGTCCGCCAACACTCACTGAAGTAACTTGGTGGACTAATCGCTTATTAACCTTCTCAGAAATAAGAAGAGGTTTGTGTGAGTGGGACGTAATACACGTTTTTTTTTAAATAGAATTAAGGTGACAAACGAGCACACAGTACACCTGAGACGGAAAATGAACGCTGAGGCTTATAGAAATCTACATTTATCCTCGATTAAGATTCAAAATTTAGATGCGTTATCACCCCTGAGGACTAAGATGGAATTCCTCGTTTCCAGTTAAAAGAGTCTTCGGTTCTCTACACTCACCATACGAAACACAGCAGCGTTAAACTGCTATTTCGCTGTGGTAATCTCTGAGTACGTGGTCTTTCCCCGATCGATGGGACCTATTTGTGCTACGACCAGAATATTTAACTTTTTTAACTGCAGCGTAGCTTTACCGTGTAGACAATATAAATGTACTTCAAAATATAATGTACTGATGGTATAAAACTTTGTGAAACAATCGGACTGATATTTTCAAAGTTACTTTATTCATTTCAAGACCATTAAAAATTGTTTTTAGAATAATTGTTTTCACTTTTAATTTTAGGTATTAATTAAATTATGTTTTACATAATTAAAGGTGTTAATGTTTGGGTGATATTTAAATAATATAAAATATTATGCTAGATATTATAATATATAAAACTGATTTAAAAACTTCACTGCTCCGTTATTCAGATAACATATTGCAATTTTATTACTTTTTAAACGTAACTTTCACAGAGTTCCAGTAATGGTGTACATATAGTATTCGTGTATAAATGAAATCTAAAAATGTATCGCTATTTCTATCTCTATAATTATCATTTTAAAGTTCAATCTCCGTTGGCAGCTGAACCTTAAAGGTAATCTGAGCCTGAATTTGAAGTCTCTGGCTCCATGTGAAATTAAACCGTGCGGTGTTGCATTAAGGTTATTTTTAGAACGTTATTTACTTGAATAGGCTGGAAATGTAGTTAGATTTTCCATTCTAGCACGTTACTCTGAACATTTTACAATGGCTCGTTAATGAATTTAATGTAATTTTCTCCTACTGAAATTATATTGTCGCCTCCGCGTATGTTTCTGATGTTCATTAAGGAAGTAACAGGTTTGCTTATTATGAGAAAAATTATTATTTTTTGATTGTCTAAGACGCTATGATATATTCTGTTAAAATAGGAGTGACAAACGAGGACACAGTCCACATCATGGTAAACGGATGCTTTGGCCCATAGGCATCTACATTTATCCATATATCTCGTATATACTTATAGCTCATTACCAGTAAAAGAGGGTCTCCGGTTCTGGACCGAATGATGTCCTACTAGCTATTTTAATCATCATCATCATCATCATTACAGCCCTTTACAAGTCCACTGCTGAACATAGGCCTCCCCCAAGGAATGCCAAAAAGCACGGTCCTGAGCCACCGGCATCCATCGACTTCCTGCATATCTTACCAGGTCGTCACTCCATCTAGTGGGGGGACGCCCAACACTTCGCCTGCCAGTACGAGGCTACCACTCGAGAACCTCAATACCTCAATAGTGCTTCCCAACGGATAGGTCTTAAGATGAACATGGACAAAACCTATGCCGGTAGTTGTTGGGAGCACTAAGCTCGAAGTTGTTGACGAGTAGGTTTACCTGGGACAAATAGTCCGACTAGGTAAGTCCAACTTAGACCGAGGGGTCAATCGACGGATTCAAATCGGCTGGGCAGCGTTCGGGAAATTACAGCACATCTTCTCGTCAGGTATACCTCAAAACTTGAAAACGAGACTGTACACCCAGTGCGTGTTGCCAGTGATGACATACGGAACTGAGACGTGGTCCTTCACTGCTGGCCGGATGAGGAACCTCAAGGTCGCTCAGCGAGCTATGGAGAGGGCTATGCTCGGAGTTTCTCTGCGTGATAAACTCAGAAATGAGGATATCCTTTTTAACAGTGGTAGAGCCACGCGGCAGCTTTTCCTGTCGCACGAATGGGCCGGCTCGAACCGGGGTAGTACCACGACCTCACAGAAAACCAGCGTGAAGTAGAGGTTTACCTCTGCGTTTTGCTTGGTGAGTGCAGGTGGCCGGAGGCCCTTTTTACTGGAAATGAGGCACTTACCATCAGGTGGACTGTGTGCTCGTTTGTCACCCTATTCCTATAAAAAAAAAAGATATATACCATAAAATCTTATACTCCTACAATTGAAACAGTTGGCGATCAGAGAATTTGAACATTCCACATAAACTTTAAAGGTCAAGTCGTTTATTTAAAGGCAATGGTTATAAAAAGGAGCAAGGAGCTTGGAAAGATTCGATTATAAACTTACAGATCTTTTAAAGAATTAGAATTCAGAGCTTTGCGTATAATTGTTCTCCGTGCAGTTCATAAATATGCACTAAATATTTTGAGTTAAAGCGACTTTCTATGTTTACTTATTTATACGATTAATTTTTCGTTTTTCAATCACCATCACCATTACCATCATCATTATCATGATAGTCCAACACAAATGTACTGCTAAAAATGGACCTTTTCCAAAGAATTCCACAAACCACGGCCCTAAGCCATCTACATCTATCGACTTTTTCCATATCTTATCGGGTTTTCACTCCAGAGTACATACATTTGTAGGAGACGGAAGTCCAAAGTAGAATACCCTATGGTGTGAAACTCCTGCCCCCCTCCCCCCTCCTTGGAGATTTTCAGCTGTTTGAGATAAAGCAGCAACATTTCATTATTTTACTTTTAGTTTGTGTGAGTGCATTACAACGCGTGGCAGGCGGCTTGATGATCGCAGCGCCAGAAATCGCGCACCTTCCCGCTGCTTCCTGTTACCGGTCTGGTGATTTTACGACCGGTGTTTTTTTATAGAATAAGGGTGACCAACGAGCACACAGTCCACCAGATGTTAAGTCGATGCTGTGGCCCATAGACATTCTACGTCTATCCTCCATTAAGAATCAAAATGCAGATGCTGTGTCACCCATCAGGACTACGATGGAATGCCTCGTTTGCCATCGATAATTAATAGAAGTCATATGATTGTTCTGGCATATCCCATAGTCGACTCTAACGACATCTAAAGCATGAAATAGGTTAAAGGATTCTCTTCCGACAACAAAAGTTACGTAATGTTCTGAGAAAAAAAAATACGTAGAACTCCTTATCTGCCTAGCGATCTGGGCACTATCATCTTAATAAATATTTTGCCGCCAAATACCGATCTGAAGCGTTAAAAGATCAAGTTTAATTACAGACTGTGAGGCACTCCATCTTAATCTTCAAAGAAAAAGCGTCAGTAGCCTAATGCCAGGGCGCGGACCGCGAACTCGAAAGGTTGTGGGTTCGAATCCGCCATTCGACTACTGTCGTGAACCACTTCTAACACAAGCATTTTAAACTTACCAGAAGTGGTTAAACGGAATAATAGTAATGTTTAATAGCATTACTAGTATTTTCTCTAAAAAAAAAGATGACAATGCTTCTGTAACCTTTGTTGGAAGTTGGTTGCATATAGAGTGACCCATATTCACAATAGGTATTGTGATTTAAAAAAGAAAGAGGATAATATCAATTCGATGTTATGTTAATTTTACACATATTTTCGAAGTTGGTAAACTAATTTAACCGGGTTTTCACGTTTAAATTTATAATACCATTGCGGTGATCACATTACTAGATCTCGTAATATTTGAAGTCGATTTGTTTATTTATTAGATTTATTTATCAAAGTTTAAAGCATCTAATAATACGTTTGTATAAAACATAAAACACTGTAGATACTTGAATGTAAAAGCCAACAAGATTTTACAAATTCATCTCTTACTTCCCTTTCGAACAGGAAGCATTCGGCTGGCAAAGGCATTTAGTAATCCGCACAGTGACCGACATTTATGGTATTGATCGTGGTTATCAGGCGTGTAGACCTATCTGCCTCGAATAAAAATTTTACTGCAGTGACACCTGGAGTTCGACATATGAATAGAAAACTGTTTTATTAAAATGCTAGTATTTTACCTGCACGTAACTTCATAAAAACCTGAAAATATATAACAATTGTTTGCTTCTTTATAGAATAAGGGTGACAAATAAGCACAACACAAACAAAGTGTGCCTGATGGTAAGAGGGTGCTGTGCCCATTGACATCTCCATTTATCCTCAATTAAGAATCAAATTGAGATGCGTTGTTACCCCTGAATACTAAGTTGGAATGCCTTGTTTTCAGTAAAAAGGGCCTCCGGTTTTCTATACTCGACATACAAAACAAAGAAACATTAAGCTGTTATTTACGCTGGTATTTTGTAGGAGCGTGGCCCTACTCCGCGTGCTATATGCCACGTAGAAATTTTACTGGAACAATGCTTGGTCAAAGTTTATATTACCAAATATTATACTAAGATGGAAATTATAATAAAGAATTGATAATTAATAATACTATTAAATATATTTTCTATAAAATATATTATACATGCTCAACGGTTAAGAGAGTACTTAATTTGGCCCATCATCGATATATCACCAATTTGATCGATAAACTTGACTATATGGATGGTATGGACGTGAAAGAGGCAAGAGAAATGTGTCAGTCAGTCAGGTTGCATACAATATATTAGGTATTGTTTTGAAAAAATCTCTTTGTTTATAAAAAAAAATATTTTAAATAATTAGAATTGATATTTGCTTCCAAATCAAAAGGTTGTCAGAAGACAGAAGGAAATACGTTATATTTTATATGCACGAGTATATATAATATATTCATATACGAGTATCTTATATTACATATGGAATAGTGACCTTACTTTGAGCGAGTACTTCAGTTACCGAAAGACAAGTTTTAACTCACTTTTTTGTGATTATCTCAAAAACTATGAGGAAATCTGATTTTTGAAAATAAGAATAGAAGATCTAATAATTTTACGTAAATAAGATCTAATCACTTTATCCTTCAACACTCATAGTTTTGTTGTAGAATTATGTTGAAATAAACATAATTGTACATGCCCCTAGCTGCCCCTACAAAGAACAAATATCCGGGAGCCCATCAGCGGTAGATTCGACGGACAACTAAGGGTGGGGCCCAACAGTCTAATATGGAGACTTAACCTACACAATAGATATAAGGCTAGGTAAATAAATAGTACGTACCTGGTTCCGAAGCTAAGACTGCCCCGAGGCTCGGTCAGGCGGTAGGTGGGTGTAGGTGCATGTAAGTGGTGCGTAGTAGTGTTTATATATGTGACCTGACCTAGTTGAGGTGATCGGGCAACGGCCTGGTCCGATGCTGCCCCACAATGTTGTATCACTCCAGCGGACTTCACCAATTGACAACTTCTTTCTTCATTTCACTATTTCAGTCCATCAACTCCATTGTACATTTAATTAACTTCAAAGTCCACCAATTCAACGTTCATCGAAATCAAACACGTGACACCCGACACAAATAACGAACAGTCGCTCAAAGCTCAATATTCAAGGTTCCGAGTTCACGTAGCACAAATTTACAAACACGGGATCGAACGCGGCCTCTTCTCTTGTCTCAAAGTTCAGCGTTCCCAAACAACAAACTAAATTCCTTCGTACGATATTAAATACTACGCCGCAATAAGAATTCAAAATCAGCCTAGCTGACACGCAAACTAACTATAGAACCAACACACAAAAGGCTCTTAACGCGACGGTACAATTAAACAATGAAAACGAAATTACTTTAATCACTAAAATTCAATACTAGCCTCTTGTCACGAAACGAACGACTTAGACAAACCAATTCGAGGCGGTCTTCACTAAACCCAAATTCAATAGCAAATTAGACGCGCACAAAAATACCCAAATTCTAGACCACAAACCCAAAAACTGGTCGCGCGAAACTGTTGCAGCGGTCACAAAAATACGTTAGTCGATAGCACCGCTGCTGCCAAGCTACTGACTTCGCATTGACGAGGCCGAACGCCGGGAAATCGCATACCCCCCCCCCCCCCCCGGCGTCGCGCACGTCACCTCACACCATCGGGCGATATGCCCAGTCCAACGCGATTGGATGGCGTATAAAATGCCCATGTTTGGGCCTAAACAATAATGCTTAAATTCCATTTTATTTATATGTAAGTATATTACAATATCACTGCTACCCGAACACTGTACTTTAAAAAAATAATTTAATTCGCCAATTTATCCAGTGGTTTGCATCTTTTATGTTTTCCGGGAGCTCTAGCACATGTTGGAACGCTTTTTGCCCATTTTTGAACATTCTTAATATGCGACGTGATAGAATATTAGTTGCATTTGTTTTTTTATTGCACACCTACATCGAACGCGAAGCGCAGATGTTTTGCTCTATTGTCACTAAATCAAACAATCGCTAATTAGTCAACTTAAATCACTTCCACCAGCTTTTTATTGCACTTATATAATAAAAATGTGGTGTACAATCGCAATAGCAAGAGGAGATTTCAATTAATACTTCTGACGCAGTTATAAGATTTCGATTATTATTAATTGAAAATAATTTCACTTGGACGTCACTTGCTCGGTATATCTATATCGACATCTTGTTCGCATCCGTGAACAAGATATCTTTCGAAAAACTGAACTTATCACTTTGATGTTTTTTATTAGCTTTAGACTTTACTCCTTTGGAAGAATTTTGAATTTCACTATTGTAAACCGTCCCGTTCGAGGTGTGCACTTTTGAATTTTCCGAATTTTAATTTTATTTATTTATATTCAGTTGTTATCTGTATACTTCAGGTTAATTACATTGTTCCACATGTTACTTTTATTTTTTGTTAAAAGAAAGTAAGCTCATTGGTTTCAAGTATATCTTATCTGTGTTAATACCTTTAAAATTGTATGGAAAACTTTTTATATTCAAAAATAAGCCTACGTTTCATGACTATGTTGAAAATTTGGCTTTATATATTTTAGGAGGATTTTTAGTATAATTGTATATTGAAGAACAAGCGCGCGCGCAGACTTGACGACTTCCAGCCTCCCGAACAAGCCGGTTTCCGAAAGGGCTTTAGTATCATGGACCACATACATACCCTTCGGAAAATTGTACAGAAGTCCGAGGAGTACAATTTGCCACTAAGTCTGGCGTATGTGGACTATGAGAAAGCCTTTGATTCCGTCGAAATTTGGGCGGTGTTGCAGTCCCTTCAGCGGTGCCAAGTTGACTGTCGGTATATCGAAGTGCTGAAGTGCTTGTACAGTAGGGCTACGATGGCTATCCGAGTACAGAACCAGAGTACGAAACCTATCCAATTGTAGAGAGGTGTAAGACTGGGTGACGTCATATCCCCGAAACTCTTCACGGCTGCATTAGAAGACGTTTTCAAGGTTCTGGGCTGGAAAGGATACGGTATTAACATCAATGGCGAGTACATCACTCACCTTCGATTTGCCGACGATATAGTCCTTATAGCAGAATCGCTGGAGGGCCTAAGCACTATGCTCAATGACCTAAATAGTGTCTCCCAACGGATAGGTCTTAAGATGAACATGGACAAAATAAGATAATGTTTAATGTCCATGTCACACCTATGCTAGTAGGTAGGTAGTTGTTGGGAGCACTAAGCTCAAAGTTGTTGACGAGTATGTTTACCTAGGACAAATAGTCTGACTAGGTAACTTCGACCGAGAGGTCTATCGACGGATTCAACTCGGTTGGGCAGCGTTCGGGACAATACGGCATATCTTCTTGTTAGGTATACCTCAAAACTTGAAAAACTTGAAAACGAGACTGTACAGTCAGTGCGTGTTACCAGTGATGACTTATGGAACTGAGACGTGGTACGCTCAGCGAGCTATGGAGAGGGCTATGCTCGAAGTTTCTCTGCGTGATAAACTTAGAAATGAAGATATCCGCAGTAGAACCAGAGTGACCGACATAGCCCAAGGGATTAGTAAGCTTAAGTGGCAATGGGCCGGCCATATAGCTCGAAGAACCGACAACCGATGGGGAAAAAAGGTTCTCGAGTGGCGGCCTCGTACCGGTGTACGAAGTGTAGGGCGTCCCCCCACTAGATGGAGTTACGACCTGATAAGACACGCAGGAAATCGATGGATGCAGGTGGATCAGGACCGTGCTTTGTGGCACTCCTTGGGGGAGGCCTATGTTCAGCAATGGACTTGTGAAGGGCTGTAATGATGATGATGTTGATAACAAGCCCTATGTCAAACAGAGACTTAATGTTATAGGACTAATTTTCTGCCTGGGAGAACGTCTGTGTAAGTATTTACCTACTTTTAATATTAAAAGTATAAATTAGTATTACAAAAAAGTAGGAATTGTTTCAGTAAGTATACGAATTAAAAAACATAATAATTATAATATGATGTATATAATATAGCTATATATAGCGAATTAGCTCGGATTCAATTTGTAGGAGACGCTAGAAGTTCAATTTTTCTGCAATAAAATATCGTCAGAGGCTCTCTTTTCCTGTATATACTTGTTATACTCTTCGGCTTAGAATAGATTAAGAAGTTTTGAACATACGATGAACCTATGCCCAATTTTCAACAAAGTTGAGAAAAATACAAACACTTAGAAAAATTTCGAAGCAAATAACATCGAATTAGAAAAAAACATTGAATAATTATAAACAATAAGTAATCAATTTAATTTGAAACATGGAATTCATAAAGCTAAAATAAATTATAAGAAAAGTCCTAAAGAACGATTAACAGCTCGTAATATTGAAACTAGAATAAATTTAGTGGGAGAAAAGGGAGAAAAATGGGAGAAAAGGGGGAGGGGACTGAATTTTCAAGCAAAGTGATTTGCAATTGTTAAAAGCAACCAAGACGTATCAGCGTCAGTATACATTGAAAATAATCACTTTCAAGAAACAGAAATATTTTGTATTGATATTATTGCGGAAATGAAAGAAAAATTAGACCAACTTTTGGCAAAATCTGAAATTGTATATGATAAGCCTGGAATGTCATTTTATGATGTAAAATTGCGTAAGATTTTGATTCCAACCTTTTCAGGACAATATCCCGAATGGATAAGTTTCAGGGATTTAATTATATCACTCATTCATAAGAGTTCCATGGAAGATGTACAGAAGCTTTATTACTTGAAAGGATATTTGACAGTTCGCCTGCTTCACGACAGCTTCACCTGTCATAGAAAATTATTGCGTCACATTCCTATTACAAATGAAAATTACGAACAGTGTTGGAAAACTTTAACAAGATAAATATGACAAAAAACAGTTTTTGGCAAGTTGTATTTTGAAAAAGTTTTTTACACAAAGGAATTTAACAACGGAGTGTGCAACTGCTATAAAAGCATTACTTGATAATACAACAGCTACTTTAAACGGGCTTAAAAGCATTGGTATTGATATGGATTTTCGGTAAGTCCAAGAATCTGTATTAATACCAATTATAATTTATATTGTTTGTGCTAAGCTGGATCAAGAAACTCACAAGCAATGGGAGTCGTGAGTAAGTCAAACTGTTTCTAGATCAAAAGAATTACCATCCTTTTATCAATTTAAAGAGTTTTTGGGAAATAGATACCATTCTTTGGAGTTTCTAAATTCAAAAGGTACAATAAAAAAGTTATCTAATTGCAATAACGTATGTAACATGAAACATTCTAATGCACTTGTAAACCTTCATATCAATCCATCACCTAGCGTATATTGTAATGGTGATCATAGGATCAGTAATTGTAAAAAGATTTAAGGTTTACAATATTCTGATAAAAGTAACTTTGTTGAACAAAACAGGTTATTCTTCAGTTGTTTAGGTAATAATAATTCAGTAAAGCAATGCCGTATAACCACCTTATGCCAAATATGTCGTAGACAAAAATGTAATCCCAATTAATGGCAATAATGATTCGGATGTTTCTAGACGGAAGGAATCGGTAAAAATAGGGCATCCCAATAGAACGTCCTTACAATCAGAAACTTTAGAGGAATCTTACCAAAATATTGCAAGTCGTTTCTTAAAAGAGCCTAATCATCACGTTTTACTAGCTACAGCTTTAGTGAACGTGAAGTATATGAATAACTATCAAACAATGCGAGCATTGACAGATCAAGGCTCGCAGGCCAGCTTCATCACGGAGTCGGCGGTACAGTTACTCGGGTTAAAAGAGACTAAGACAAATGTTGTGGTTTCAGGTCTAAGAGCAGAAAAGAGTTTGGTCTCCATGTCTACAGTAGATTTGACGATACAAATTCATGTATATATGTGACGGCATATTACGTTTTAGAGAAGTTGACATCGTAGTTACCTCTACTAACGTTGATCTATTGCACTGGTCAGAGCTGAAACAACTCAACTTGGCAGACCCAAATTTCCACAAACCAAAAAGATTGACATTTTATTAGAGGCAGAAGCATATGCACTTATCACTATGGAGGGACTGCTTAAATATCCCTCAGGATAGTACATATAATAGTAGGATAGTTTGAGATACAGTAGCTCAAAACATATCTTTGGGGTAGATATTAAGTAGACATTTGCATTCTTATACACCTTACTGTAATGTAGTGAGTTGACATGGTGAAGTTCATCTCGATAGCTTGATTCGCTCATTTCGGGAATTGGAAGCCGAACCAAATTTATCTAAGAAAAATTTAACTGAAGGGGAACAAAATTGTGAACAATTGTATAAATCGACGACGACAAGGGATAATGATGGCAGATATATAATTCGACTTTCGTTTCGAAATGGACATCCATCATGTTAAGAAGGAAAATCAAAACAAATTGCGCTTCGTAGATTTGCTTCGCTAGAATAAAGGTTACAAAAGAATTCTGACATGAAAGTAGAGCTTGAGAAAATATTTGATGAATATTTGCATTTAAATCACATAGAGCTAGTATCAAAAGAAGAATTAGATTTATCAGCTACTTATTTACCATATCACGCTGTTATAAAAGAGGATAGGGAGACAACTAAAGTGCGTATAGCTTTCGATGCCTCATGTAAGATGAGATAAGATCTTTAAATGATGATTTGATGGTTGGCCCTAAACTTCAGTCTAATTTACGCCATATTATTATGAGGTGGAGAACTCATCCAGTTTTTTTTTATAGGATTAGGTGACAAACGAGCGCATAGTCCATCTGATGGTAAGTGGTTGCTAAACTGCTGAAACTGCACGTCACTCGATATGTTGATGCCGAGGATTTCGATAACAAGGGTAGTGCCTTGAAACTGAGGAGATACGACAAAGGGGTTCCTTTTAGCGGTAAACGCGCAAACCTGTGTCTTCTGGGGAATGAACTGGACTAGATTTAGTCGTCCGCAATCTGATATTTTGTTCAACAAAGTCTCGACTTTAGGCACAAATTTGTTCCGATACTTGGCGACGTTTTCCCGAGAAATACTGGCACGGCAGGTGTATAGAGAATCACCAGTGCTGTCATCTGCATAGCAATGTATGTTACCGGTTTGCAACATATCATTGATATGCAGAAGAAACAGCGTTGGTGATAGCACGCAGCCTTGTGGAACACCAGCGTTAATAGGCTTGTAATCGGAGCACGCACAGTCTACTACAATCTTGATGCTCCAATGAGCAAGGAAACTGGTGATTAATTTCCATAATTTCTCGGGAAGCCCATAGGAAGGAAGCTTCGAACGAAGCGCTTTGTGCCAGACCCGGTCGAAGGCCTTCGCTATGTCCAAACTAACGGCCAATGCCTCCCCCTTGGACTTGATCGCCTGCGCCCATCTATGTGTTAGGTAAACAAGAAAATCAGCTGAGCGACCCCGACGGAAACCGTACTGGAAGTCACTAATCAGCTGGTGCTCCTCAAGGTACCGCATGAGCTGGCAGTTATAATGGAGTCCATTATTTTCGAGAACAAGGAGGTGATGACGATAGGCCTGTAATTGGACGGATCAGAACGTTTAACTTTTTTAGGAATCGTGGTTAATGAAACACACACTTTATCACTAGGTTTTACTCACATACTACTACACTGTATTATAGAAAAATTCAAGGAGGCAAAGATTGTTTAACTATACATCATAATGAAAACATGCAAGTGATATCGCGATTCACTCGGCGATAGCGTCATCTAGGGAGAACAGAAATAACTAAATTGACTTAGAATTTTTGGATTTAAGATTGTTAGCTAAACAGATCGGGTGCACGAAAACTGTCTTCCATGAATTCGGGATAATGCCTGGGGTGTAAGAATACCGAAAAAGACGCGTTAGAGCCGGTGCCAACTCTGGAACGCACGTCCTAAGCACAATTGGCGGGATTCTGTCAGGCCCACTCGACTTGTGGATATCCAGGGAGACGAGTGCTTTGCGTACTGAGCACCGTGTGAATCGCACATCAGGCATAGAGCACTCACACTGCGGGATGGTCGGCGGTGTGTTCCCCCCGTCATCAAGAGTCGAATTGGACGCAAAAAGGGAGCCTAAAAGGTCTGCCTATGTGCTCTGACTTTGCCTTTGCAATAACTCTTTTGAAGGACCTGGAGGCGAAGTTATACTTCTTTTTAGGCATGCTGGTGTTTACATCCTGAGCCGACGAAGCTTCAGCCCAGGACTGATAACACTCCTACTAATTGCGTAATGTAGTCTTACAGGAGCAACCAAACCAGGGCTGAGATTTGCCACCGATGGGTACCACAGATGATGGAATAAATAGTTTCATTCCTTGTAGCACTACATCGGTGACAGAGTCAGCGACAGCGCTGGATCATCCGGCGAGAAGCAAACCCGCCCTTACAGGTAGAATGCAAAGAAAGACCGCATTCCGTCCCAATCCGCCGACCTGTAATGCCAAACACGGCGGCAACCTGCAGAACGCAACCGCGAGGGGAGCGTGAGTGGCACCACACTCCGAATCAGACAATGGTCCGAAGATCCAAGAGGGGCATCGATCGAAACCTGATATCCGACCGGATGAGAGGTCAGCAGAAGGTATAACAGGGAAGGTGTATGATCCTCCACATCTGGAATCCGCATAGGCGAAGTAACCAGTTATTTCAGACCATATGCCAAGGCAAAGTCATAAACCGATCTCCCCGCATGATCGGTTAAACGTGAACCGAGCCATTCAGTGTGATGGGCTAAAAAATCGCCAAGTATCACGATCTCTACGGATGGGATCTGTTGTAGTAAGAAATCTGTAGCTATTTGGACGTAGTATATGAGCCGGTCTGTGTCGGCATTACCGCTATGGGACCTATACAGGCACCCGTAGAAGCGGGGATGGTCGTCGCTGTTTACGCGCAGCCAAAAGATGGACAGGTCCGCATCTTCAAGACTGCCGAAGCGTCGATAACAGATATCCTCTATCCTCTCTGACGTATACGCAAACTCCAGCCCAGGGCACAAAGAAGTGTTCTAATTTGAACTCCGGGTAGGACAGGTACGAAGTAGGGTTTGTACGTGGTAGAGCCATGCTGCAGCTATATTATTAGTATAGTTGTAGCACGAATGGGTCGGCTCGACCGGGGAAGGACCACGCTCTCACAGAATACCAGCGTCAAATTGCAGCTTAACACTGCTGTGTTTCGTATGGTGAGTGTAGAGAACCGGATACCCTTTTTACTCGAAACGTGGCATTCCATCTTAGTCCTCACGGGTGGCAACGCATCTGCATTTTGGTTCGCAAACGAGGATAAATGTAGATGTCTATGGGCCACAGTAACCACTTTCCATCAGGTGGACTGTGTGTTCGTTTGTCATCCTATACTATAAAAAAAAGTATCAGCCAGAGAGGACACCTGCGTATTGGCCAAAAAGAGCAAGGCAATCTCTAGAGGGTAGTGGACGGCATTCGAGTGAAGTCCCCTGATGTTGCAGAAGTCCACGGATAGCGTGGCAGGGGTTGTCATGTTTTTATCGCTCTGTTTGCCCCGTGCAGTGTTAGTATAGAGTGGGATTTTGCCCCCCCCCCTCAGAATACGCGGAGAAGCCTGAGAACCTACGCTCAGAAAGTAAAGAGTAGATTGACCGCGGATGCTCAGTGAGGTATTCTCCATTACCAGGGGTGCTGGTACCATGAAGCAAATACAAAGGTGAGGTGTTGTAATTAGATTTCACTATGTAACAACGCGTGACAATTTGCGGGGTGAGGCGATGTTAAGTGAAACTACTCGAATCGTTCTATGTCTATGTTGTTGTGTAGTTTAGCTATCTTGACGATGAAAGGCGGCCTGTTCACAAAATGATTATAAACTATAAAAATAATATTTTGGCGATTAAAATTCCTTTATATCTGAATGTAAAACAAATTTCAGCACATTCGTATTATTATTTTAGCAATACTAAACTCTACGTACCTTTATATTTTTAGTTCACATGACACAAAGTGTCGCCATCTAGTGTCAAATATATTTAAAAGCTTTTACAACAATTTACTTCGCA